AACGCCAGAGGTTCCTTGTAACCTCAGCTGTTCTCCCTCCCTAGTTGTGACCTCTCTGTGCCTCTGCATGTTTGGGCCCCTCTGTGACTTTCAGAGCCTCAGTCTGTGCTCTCTAGGCGCCCCCCATCCTGGTTCTTCTCTTTCCCTTTCCCTGTTCTCTTGGGTGGGGTTTTGGATGGTGTACCTCTGCCTGGCCGGTCCTTCCCTCTTGTTCATTTTCCTCTGGAGCTTTTAGGGGTTAATTGTGAACCACGCTGTAGAGAGCCTCTTTGGAAACCTGCCCAGTGTGTTGGAGCCGCGCTGTAATGGACTGAGCTGGGCCTGGCTTCCGGTGGGCAAGGTGAGCTCACTTACATGTGCTGGAAGCTTGGATCGTTGCAGAGATGACTCACTGTCTGTTTTTGATGTTCGTCCAGGGCTTAGGCTTTTCTGTAGCCTTTGTTCCAGAACACTGAGGTGAAGGAGAAATGTTTCTGCTGCCGGAAGGAAAACATTTTTAGGGATGGCGTTTCACTGGGATGCTGGTGGTCTGCCTTTCACATAAACTTAAGAATAACCAAGTAATTACAAGAGTACTGAAAGGGGCTAGCAGTCATTTTTTTAAAAATAGCATCTATTCTGCTGAAATAATTTGTGTTCATTTTTTTTTCTGAGTTGGAAAATATGGAAACATCATAAAAAGAATGACTCTTCTTAACCCCACCGTGCACAGATAACCATTGTTTGGAGCTTGTTTTCCTTTCCATTTTTACATACAGGTACATTTCTTAAATGAAATCAGAATGACAACAATAGCAAACCTTTTTTGAAACCACTCTCTGTGCCAGGAACTCTTTAAGTACTTTCTGTGCATTATGCCATTTGTTCCTCACAACTCTTGGAAGAGGGATTATCTCTATTTGACAGAAGAGGAAACTAAGACACAGGTGAGGTCATTTTTCCAAAGTCACACAGCTCGTAAGAGTGACATCAAGACTGAAACCAAAAGTACTCTTATCTCCAGAGCTCAGGGTCTTGACTATTTCCTGATAATGTCTCACAGAAAAGATAGCTTGGATTAAATTTCATGGAATTTTGCCATGTTAGCTCTGAGGGGTCTGGCTTGATCTCTTTATAGATGAGGAGGTTGAGGACTACGAATGAGTTGATTTAGCTAAGAACACAAAACCAACTAATGTCAGTGCCCAGACTGGACCGTGCGTCCCCTGATGCGCGCAGTTCATGTGCAGATCAGCTCTGAACCTTTGTCCTCCCTGGGTCCCGCCCCGAAACAGCTGTGCCCAGTGAGCGCCCTCAGGGCTGGCTCCCGACCAAACGGAGGACGGAGGACGCCCACAGCTTTCTCCCCTGAGATGAAATTTCACTTTGAGTTTAGGGAACGAATGGGCATCTATCGAGTAGTGATGTGTACAGCTGGCTCTTAATTACCCTGCAGAGTGAGGGCTATAAAAGGCTGTAAAAAGGTGTGGCCCAGCAATAGTTTCAACCTTCCAACCTCGTCAAACATTTTAAACTGAGATTTGCTGACGAGCAGTAGGATTGATTGATTTGAGCTTTGAATGCTGTTGCTTTCCCCAGCCTGGACTCCCGAGGACATGCCAAGCATTGTTACAAGTTTAAAGTGAGCCAAAAGTCAGGCAGCTCTCTGTGTGCGAACATTCCTGAGTGTTCGAGGCTGTCCTGGCCCAGCTGACTCCAAGGGACGAGGCCGTTGCCTTGGGTCGCCAGCGCTGGAAGGCCCTCGGCTCTGGGGAGGAGGTTTGAAGGAGGAAGAGGCGGGGACGTACCGCTGCCTTTGGGAAGGTAAAGGAGAGAAACTTCTGTGTCTTCCAACATCGCGGACTTCTCAGTACCAAGCAGGTTTGGGTGGTTTTTCTTAAACTCACTCTATCTGATCTTTGAGCTCCAGAGGGTAAAAACAGGTCTTAGGCAAAAACAAAGTGCAGCAAAAAAGACAAGAAGAGTGAGTGATAATTAGTCAAAACTAAGGCGTGCTGCTAGAGGTGAAGCGCATGGTTATCCCCAGCGATGGGGGTTATGGATTTATGATTGAAGGGGGCATGGGGAGCTTGGGTTTTGCTTTATTGGGTTTTTTTTGTTTGTTTGTTTTTTAGAGAGGGAGGGAGGGAGAGTTAGGGAGAGGGAGAGAGAAAAATCTTAAGCAGGCTCCATGCCCAGCTCAGAGCCTGACTCAGGGCTTGATCTCACAACCCTGAGATCATAACCTGAGCTGAAACCAAGAGTCAGAGGCTCGACTGATGGAGCCACCCAGGCGCCCCTTTGTGTTCACTTGTTTGTTTTGTTTTACTGGATCCTGATTATGTGTTCTTGAATGTGTTCTTTTCTGTGTGAAAATTATACGTCAGTTAACGTTTAAAGGTCTTTGTTTGTATTTGTGTTACCTTGTTGCACACAGATCCTCAGAAAAATCTCCATTTAGTTGAACCCGTTTGAAGTGATTTAGAAATTACTACCCAGCTGTTGGGGAAACCGCTCTGCCTGAAATGATCAGATCCATATGGGCAGAAGGTCCAAGGTCATTTTCCTGATTCTGTTAAAATCTATCTTAAGTGATTTCAGTGTGACTTTCCTAGAATAAAGAAGGATGTCATTTGCGTTCAGCCAACATTATTGACAGCCTGCGGTGAATAGGGGCAGAGCTAATAGTACAGACCAGGTGGAGGTATGACACGTCTCTCCCCTGAAGGAGCCTGTACTCTGTAGGGGATAAAATCCACGGGTCAGGGACACAAGGACACGTCAGGTGGTTCCACAAAAGCATCACGGATGATCGCAGAAAGAATGGGCCACTTTCTGATGGACTGGGAACAGCTCATGGCAGTAGTAGGATTTTAAGTGGATATGTGAGATTTTGATAAGCAGGAGTGGATGGGTGGGAGGCGTCCTTTTTATGAGAAAATCCATAGATAATTCACATGCATTCTGGGAACTTTGGGTTGGATGGCTCATCAGGATGAATGGCATCCATTAGCTGTAAGGTGAGGCCTGAAAGGTAAACCAGGCCTTATAGTGGCCAGATTGTATTATTTAATTTGGGAGGCTTTGGGGAGCCAAAGAAAGTTTCTGAGAAGTTAGATGAGCATAGTCAGATCAGTGAATATCTCCAGTGAAATCAGATTTGTAGCCTCAGGATTGTACGGTTACCACAGATTGCCCTGTCTGCCCCAAATAATCATTTTCTAGATTCAGTGCATTCTGTGTTACTGTAATTTGAACTTACTCTGTGGCTAGCGAGCCACGGGTACCTGGTTCCCTTGAGCTCCCCATCGCCATCTTTCTAGGACTTGAACATGATGGTCATACACCTTCTTTATTCCCTACCCCCATCCTTCCATCTCGACCAGCTGATGTCACCATTTTTTTTTCATCCATTTTCCTAGTTTTACAAGTGATTTGGCATTTATTTCCTTCCAGCCTTTCCTGTGTGATGTTCTTCTGCCAGATAAAAAAAATTCATAGCAAAATTGTGTGTTGGAAGAGAGGGCCCAAGAAATAATGTTAACAAACTTTTGTGAGTTGTGTAGGAGGACTGACTCACCAACCTGGGACTGTGTCCCACTGTGCCATCGGGCTCCTTTCTCTAGGAAAAAGCACCGGGGAGGATTTTTCGTGGGACAAAGTGTTAATACTTCATTGTTGGAAATGAACGCATTCAAGTCTGGGTCACTTGGGCAGGGGAGAAAGTGTGTTAATATCTTATTAATATTTTGCTATTTCTGCCTGCTGTCCCCTAAAACACAAGATGACTTGTGCTGAATATTGTCTCCCATTTGGTCTCCATTGAGCCAGTGGAGTCAAGGCTCCTCTGTGTCAAGGCATCATTTTAATCAAAGGGTAGTTAACTTGACAGGTAAGCTGCATCAGCTGAGATGTTACTAGTCTTTGTTCAGAAATTGCATTAAGACCCTATAAAGGCTTCTCTTTAGTCCTTTGGGGACACCTTGGTAGGGTGTCCTGGTGTAGAATAAGAACCCAGTTAGCGTGACTTGGGTTCAGATCCTGCCTCTTGCCGTCTTAGTTCCTCCGTACATGGGTTTAACTTCATCTTTACCTGGCACCCAGACTACCTTTGCCTTTCCTTTCTGGAGCAGAAACTAGTTACCCTCCTCGCCACGATGCTCAGTGATCCTTTGTACTTCTTCCCAGATGGCCCCCAAGTGAGAAAGCCATTTCCCTTGGTATTACCACTTGTTCTTGTTTTTTAATCACGTCAGTCATGATTTGGGGTTGTTCATTTCCACCTCTAAATAACAGTCGTAGTACTCAGTAAAGTTAATCTTATCACATCTGTTAAATGATTCCGTTAAGAAGATAATTCCTTGTGTTGATGAAGGTACCTGCTGGAACTGTTTTCTCAGTCTTCTGTTACCTGAGCGGGTTCTGAATTGGATGCATCGCCCCCCATGCTGCAGTTCACATGGAGCGGGGCGTGGTAGACACCCCAGTTACCCAGGCATTTTGGGAAACTAGCACTGCTTGTTAACCTCGTGCCATTATGCATTTTCTACCCTGGCAACTGGCAGTTGTCATCTAATGAGACAAAACATCGGACACCCTGCGGGACTGGCCTCTCATAGTTAGTTAGTATACGTGGATGCAGGACAGGGTTGGTCTGTCCTCTCTTCCACTGGAGAGGATAGTAGGGAGTTTTTATCTTAGGAATACCTGTAGTTTGAAGATTTATTTATTTGAGAGAGAGAAAGAGCATGTGCACAAGTGGGGAGCGGGAGAGTCTCACAGAGGCTCCCCGCTGAGCTCAAAGCCTGTCACGGGGCTTGATCTCCCGACCCCGAAATCATGACCGAGCTGAAACCAAGAGTCTGACATTCAGCCGATGGAGGTCCCCAGGCACCCCCGAATACTTGGAGTTTGAAAATCTGGGACATGAAGTGTGTCTGTTGCATGTACACAGATTGTGTCACAAGAACTCTGCCTTTGATGTCAAACCTTAAAGTGCTTCTTCCCTGTCTCTCGTGCAGGTAGAACGTCATGACATGAATACCTTAAGCTTGCCCCTGAGCATTCGCCGAGGGGGGTCAGACACCAACCTCAACTTTGACGTACCAGATGGCATCCTGGACTTCCACAAGGTCAAGCTCAGTGCAGACAGCCTGAAACAAAAAATTCTGAAGGTGACGGAGCAGATAAAAATTGAGCAGACGTCCCGCGACGGCAACGTCGCGGAGTATCTGAAACTGGTCAGCAGCGCGGACAAGCAGCAGGCCGGCCGCATCAAACAGGTCTTCGAGAAGAAGAATCAGAAATCCGCTCACTCCATCGCCCAGCTCCAGAAGAAGTTAGAGCAGTATCACAGAAAGCTCAGGGAGCTCGAGCAGAACGGAGGCTCCAGAAGCGCCAAGGACATTTCCAAAGACAACCTCCACGCTCTGCGAGATGCCGCCGCCAAGTCTCGAACTGCCCCCCACAGCACAGAGTGCGCGAAGTCGGGCATGCCAGGCGTGTCCCTCACTCCGCCCGTGTTCGTCTTCAACAAGTCCAGAGAGTTCGCCAACCTGATCCGGAATAAGTTCGGCAGCGCCGACAACATCGCGCACTTGAAGAACTCCTTGGAGGAGTTTCGGCCCGAGGGCAGTCCCCGGGCCTACGGGGGCAGCGCCACCATCGTGAACAAACCCAAGTACGGCAGCGACGATGAGTGTTCGAGCGGCACGTCGGGCTCCGCCGACAGCAACGGGAACCAGTCCTTCGGGGCCGGCGGCGCCGGCGCGCTGGACAGCCAGGGCAAGCTGACCGTGATCCTGGAGGAGCTGAGGGAGATCAAGGACACGCAGGCTCAGCTGGCCGAGGACATTGAAGCGCTCAAAGTGCAGTTCAAGAGAGAGTACGGCTTTATTTCTCAGACCCTGCAAGAGGAGAGGTACAGGTACGTCCGCTTCTTCTCCCGCCTTCTTTCGAGAGCCTGACTTACCCTGACTTGCGGGATGGCCTCCGTGACAGGGATGTCCTGAGAGTTGTATTTTCCACGAGTGTGGATATGGATCCAAAACGTGGAAAATCAGCAGTTTCCCCCCCTGCTTCATGGTGCCAAACTTAATAACTTGTGACTTACTGTTCGACACTTTAGAGCAAGTTGTGTGAGTCTTTTCAAATACCGCTGTGTGGTCTGTGACGCGTGCACACCCTGCCCTGATTCAGGAGACTGTCATGAAGAGGTTTCGTTACACCGATTCACAGATCTCTGTTTTCTTTTCCTCTCTAATAACCGTCAAGGAAAAGAAGCCACTGCATTGCTCATCAAGGTCGATTTTCTCTGCTACCTTAATCTTAAAGTCTTTATGTGATGAGTATTTCTTTATATACTGTATTTTACTTTGGTTAAACTTTTCTCCTTAACTGAAGAGTTTTCAAAAGAAATCTTAAGAGTAGAATATAAATTCAAATCTTGTGAATTACCTTAGCTAATTTTAAAAGGTATTTTGTAGGCTGGCTTTTATGTGCTTATAACTTATTAATAAAAATATTAATAGAAGTGATTTTCCACCATTTCCCCAGTGAAAAGATTCCCCAAGGATTTTTTTTTTAAGACTTGATTTCTTTTTTAAGTTCTCTCTCCACCAGTGTGAGGCTTGAACCCACAACTCTGAAACTGACAGTCACACATTCTGCTGACAGAGCCAGACAAGGTGCCCCTGAAAGTTTTGATGGGTTTTGTTGTTGTTGTTGTTTTTGTTTTGGCCAAAATGAAGATTTAACTTGTAAAAATGTAGATTAAAAGAAATTCAATGCCCATTACATATTACAAGATTAAACTTTAAATTTTACTTACACATTTTATATTTCCTACATGGTTTTAAATCTATTAATTTAGAGATGTGGCTTTTTTCAGCTCTTACACTTTATGAAACAGTTTTTTAAAACTTGGTAGCATACATCTTTGGCTTTGGTTTCTTTGTCACATAACTATTTTTGAGTCACAGGTTTTCCAGAGAATATTTAATTCCAACTGAATAGTTTGGGATACAGAACTCTTTGGATCCAAATTTTATCCCAAATCACAAATATCCATTTACATAAATTTAGGACTGTTCTTGTTCTCCTTTGCCATCTCGTCATGTTTGTGGTGTTCAAGAGTTAGCCCCTGACTGTATTGCTTGCAGTAAGAGATCTTTAAAAGGCTTTTTCGCCAACATTGGATATCTTTGAAGTCCTATCTGAGAATAATCATTAAATCTGCATTTAATTTTTCTTCGGTCTTACTTTTTTTCCTGAGGTATAAGGGACATATAACCTCTCAATTTCCCTCCCTCCCTCCTGCTCTCTCTCACCTTTAATGATTCTGTCAGGTGACCTCTATAAGCATCTAACACAGATTTTGATAAGACCAGTCCCTCTTCCATGAGGAAAATGGGAGGTGGGAATGGGAATCTTTGTTCTTCTGTTACTTAGGATTTGGACTTTTGGAAAGGCCACCCGATGAGCCATTTATAATTTGCAATGAGCTTCCAAGTTTTTACTGGCACTTAAGTTCCCAGAACTGAAACATGTTTTCGTAATTAGCGGATGCATTGGGAAATGGTGGAGTTGGCTCTAGCGTAGAAGTAGGTTCTATCTTTGTGGGCTCTCTGGCGTGTGCGAGCCGTGCCTGTGAACCAGAAGGCTCTGTGCAGGCAGGAGACGGGGGAACCCTGGGGTGCCAGACAGCCTGGCCTCTTGAGCAGTCCTAGTGAACACGTCAGGTCTGTTCTGTCACCAACCACAGCCCGTGAAGGTGCTCGTCCAGTGTGGGTGGAAATGTCGCATTCGGTGTACGTGTCACCTCAGGAGTTGAGGCCAGAGAAGTTAAGACGGCAGAGACCAGTCCTTTCTAGAGCTGGACTTCAGGTTCTCCAAAAGCATGACGCTAGACGTATTCTTTTTTTTTTTTTTTTTTTTAAGATTCTACTTATTTATTTGACAGAGAGCATAGCATGGGGAGCGACAGGCAGAGGGAGAGGCAGGCTCACTGAGCAGGGAGCCCAAGGTGGGGCTTGATCCCAGGACCCTGAGATCGTGATTTGAGCCAAAAGCAGATGCTTAAGGACTGAACCACCAGGCGCACCTCGATATATTCTATCAGAAACATAGTCTTCCAGGGAATGAGAACAAGGAGACCTGTGAGGTGTCACACTCAGAATCAGCTCCTTTCTTTGCAAAGGTACGAGCGCCTGGAAGACCAGCTCCATGACCTAACTGACCTGCATCAGCACGAGACTGCCAACCTGAAGCAGGAGCTGGCCAGCATCGAGGAGAAGGTGGCCTACCAGGCCTATGAGCGCTCACGGGACATCCAGGTACGTTCCTCTCGTCATGACACACTCCTGCGGGCTCCTCCCAGCATCGAAGTCAGCTAACAAACCGTGAGTGCGTTACCCCTCAGCCCTAAAGCATTTCTGGCGTGTTGTTTCCTCCACAAAGAGCAAAATGTTTTTTCCACAAACATCCTCTACCTTAATAGCCCCATTAGCTTGTGTTACATGTGTCACTGAGTAAACAGGCTATTCTCTGTGTACCTTTTTGGGTTAACAAATATTTATTATCTACCCAAGCCCACCGCCTATAACCTCTTCTCCTCCCCCAACCCCACCACCAAAAGTGCTTCAACTTTCTAAACATGAGGCTGACCTTGCCTTCGAGACGCTCACTGAGCGGGGGAGGGGGGTAGTCAAGATTAGGTAAACCGCCAGACAGCTCAGGGAAACACGAGCAGGGGCCAGGTGACATGGCACAGATGGTGAAAGCCACGGGATTCCGACCCACAGCGGCCAACAGGCTAGGAACTGGTGGGGCGGCCGGTCATTCCATGACCAAGCGATGCATTTCAGTCTCAGGTCTGGCATTTCCCATTGTGTAACCCTGAGCAAGCCTTGAATCTGTTTACTCCTCTGCAGAATAATAGCTTTGACAGCTGTAAGAAGTTCAAGGACTTGAGTGCACCCCGTGTGCCACACGCTAGCAAAACACTCTCCATGCCTTTTTCCTCCCCATCCACTCCTTACAACAGCCCTTTAAAGCAATTCCAACCATTTTCCCCATTCCTCAGATGTAGAGACTAAGGCAGAAAGGTTAAGCGACTTGGACCAAGGTCTTGCAAACAGTCGGCGAGTAAGGAGTGTGCAAGAACATCCATGTGGGGGGACTCGCTGGGATGGTGGGATCCGGATGGTTGGAAGGAAGGGCTTACTGCGTCAGTATGCGCAGAGGCATGTTCCAGTATTAATGTGATGGTGTCACTGCAGTGAAACAGCCCTTGGCTTCTGGAATGCTTTTTTTTTTTTTTCTTTTTTCTACTTCCAGAGGGGCTCTTTTTTTCTCCCAGTTTTACTGAGATATAATTGACATATCACTTCACATTGAAGTGTACAACATAATGATCTGATATATATATTATATATATAGTGACAGGGATCACCACAGTTAGTCCGGTTAACGTCCATCACTCACAGAGTTAACTCATTTTTTTCTTGTGATGAGAACTTTCAAGACCTGCTCTCCTGGCTGCTGTCAGATATGTAAGACAGAATGGTTAACTTGTCACCATGCTGCACATTACGCCCTCAGGACTGACTTACCTTATAACTAGGAGTTTGTCCCTTCTGCCACTCTCACCCATTTCCCCTGCCCTTCCTCCCCATACCCCCCGCCCGGCTGTGGCAACCACCGGTCTGTTCCTGTGAGTTTGGTTTTGTCAGATGCCACATAGAAGCGAGCTCACAGAGCCTGCTTGTCTTCCTCGGTCTGACTCATCGCACTCACCATCCTGCCCTCAGGGCCCATCCGTGTTGTCACCTGACAGGATTGCCTTCTCTCTCCTGGCCTGGTAATACTCGGTTGTGTGTTGTGTGTGTGGGTATCCCATTTTCTTTATTCATCCGTTGACGGACTCTGGGGTTGTTTCCCTGTCTTGGCTATTGTGAGTAATGCTTTCGGTGAACACGGGGGTGGGGAGATCTCTTCTAGAAACTGATTCCATTTCCTTCGGGTATATATACTCACAAGTAGAATTGCTGAATCGTATAGCAGTTCTATTTTTAATTTTGAAAGGAACTTCCATACTGTTTTCCATAGTGACCGCCACAATTTACATTCCCATTGAAAAGGCAAAAAAGTATACTCTCCAAGTAGTGCTCAGCTGCATTTTTACAACTTTTCTTTGTAGGCCATGGTTATTTTTTCCAGCCCCACTCTAGGAGGGAGAAAACTGAAACATGAAGGGAGATTTTTTTTTTTTCCTCGCAGCGTGTGAGCTGGAGTCTCAGCCGCCCACGTTCTGTTCTACTCCGTGTCGTGGGCTGTGAGTCTGTGCCAGTCCCAGGCGACGACTTGGACAATTCTGGGAGCTGGAGTGCCCAACAGAGCTGATAGGGGACATTGGCCTCTGGGGACCGTGGTGGAGGAGACACTTGGGGGATTTTGCCCCTGCTCTGGGTTAGGACATTGTCCTCACGACTGACTGGTTTGAAGAATTTGACCCACTTAAACATTAAGTGTAGCAAGGTGAACAGTGCAGTCTGTTTTATTAGAACATTCTGTTTTTAGAACATGCCTGGGATGCCACTGGATTATATCTAAACATGTGGTTTTCTTATTTAGGGGATAGTTTGGGTTAATGTTGTTCTTCCTTTTTTAAGGGAACCCCCTTTAGGGATGCATAGGTAAGACAAAGGGACATCACAGGGGGAGCACCACAATTTAGAAGAGTTCATATGAACATTTTTTGGCTTTCGTCTCTAACTCAGAAGTGCAAGGAGGACATCTGTGTGAGCGACTGGACAGTCGTCTTTGTTAAGAGAGGGAGAATCCTTGCTCTACACTGTGTGATCCCGGACAAGCTGACTCCCTCTGCCTCAGTTTCCTCATCTATAAAATGGAAATAGCAATGAGCTTCCCCTCAAAAGGTTGTCAGGAGGACTAGATAGGATAATACACAGAAAGCCCTTAAGTCTTTGCCTGATGCGTAGTAGGCAGCCGGAAAATAATTACTATACTGGTGAGAAGCCGTGTTCCTCGGGGCTCTTGGCATTCGGGCCTGCTCAGCTCTGTCGTTAGTTCTCGGCTCTTTCGTTCTCACAGGCAGGGCTCCGTGGCAGGCCAGCTGGTGCAGCCAGGGTGACTGTTGCCCCAGGGACACCAAATTTCGAGAAATTGAGTTTTGCTTTTTATCACCCTTGACTTCCCAATTAAAAAAGGCCTAAGGATAATCTGGTCTGTCCTCCATCCTCATCCCCGTAAGTTAAATACTGGATCCAAGAAAGTACTAAAGATCATGGGGCCAAATAGCTCTGAGTGGGAGCTGTAACTAAAATTCCTCCCCATTCGCTAAATTTTCTTGTATTTTTTTTTTTTTTTATAAAAAATGGATAAAGTTTCCAAGGCCATTCAATTCTCGGATCAGTCCATTTATATATGTAATTCACGGACCCAGCTAAAGATAAATGAATTTGCTAAGGACGCTGACCTTCTGTCTTGGCTGTCCCCTTTTCCGTGGCGTGTCTCAAGTGGAGGACACGTTGGGCTGGGGCAGTTGTTTCCGGGGCAGGTGCCTGTCCTGGAGGCCAGCGCTGCTTCAAATGTAAACACCTTCTCTGTGCTGACTTGTGTAACGGAAGTCACGATAGTGCCAGAGAACCCTGATCTCTGGCGCAGAGAGCACGTCCCGCAGAAGAAAAGCGCATCCGTGTCACAGCTGTTAGGGTTGTTTAAAACCCGAGAAGACGGCTGTGTTGTAACGGAGCAAAGAGTTCTCGGGAAGTGAGTCGGATGGCAGGCCAGAGCGCTCGGCAGGGCTCCCTCTGCCGCTGCCAGGTTCTTCTCTCTCCGGCCTCCCAGCGCCCTTCCTGGCATGCAGCCCACCCCCAGGGGACAGCCACCCCATGCGGGGGCGTAGCAGCAGGGCCTGGTCCCCATCCTCCTGAGCTGTGGACTGTCGGTCGGGGGTGGGAGGGCTGGGGGAGACTTTAGCCTCTGCTGGGGCCAGACAGGACAGTGGAGGAGGTGGGAGCTGGCAGGGGAAGAGAAATCCAGGTGAAGAGGGGAGGGAGCGGGCAGGCAGTCATTTCAGGCACAGTCCAGAGGCCCCTAACGTGGTTCTTTTCTGAACTTGAAAAAGCCGGTATGGCCAGAGCATGGTGAGCTCGGCAGGGGGCTGGCGTTCTGTGAGGCAGGAGGGAGTGGGACGGAGACCGAAGTGAGAGAAACGGACCCCTGCAGATAGATGCTGGCTACTGTGTCAGTGGGGCTGAGTGACACATCAGAGGAGAGGCGGGTCTGGTTGGAGGAACTGGGTAGATCAGGTGCTGTTTTCTGAGGAAAGGAGCACCAGAAGGGGAACAGGTACAGGAGAAGGCGTGGGACGTGAAGCCACATTGGCAAAGGCTGCATCTGAGATGATTTTAAGAAGCTCAAATGGAGAAGGGCGTCTGGGTGGCTCAGTTGGTGAAGGGTCTGCCTTCGGCTCAGGTCACGATTCTGGGGTCCCGGGAACGAGCCCCACGTTGGGCTCCCCGGACAGCAGGGAGTCTGCTTCTCCCTTACCCTCTGCTCCTCCCCCCTGCTTGTGCTTGCTCTCTCTCATTCACTGTCCCAGATGGAGCTATCAAGGAGGTACGTAGATATGTGAGTCGATCTTAAGAACCAGAGAGGTACGTGGACTCAGCTGTGACTTCGTAATTGAAGTGTTGGAAAGAATGAGATCTAGGAGAACGTGTAGCCTTGGACGGTGTCCTGAGTAATAGGATTCAAAGAGCAGGTGAAAGCAGAGATGCCCCCCGTCATTCCTGTCCCCGTCCCTTCTCCCTTCATCCTCTGGAGTTTGCAAACGGCCGCACCCACGGTCTGAGCCGTGGAAATAAGGACTGGCGATCCGAGCTACCACCTGCTCTGTGGCCGAAGGTCGCCCACTGTCCCAAACCAGAACCCCACCACTCCTCTCCTTTGACCCCGAGGAGACCAACAGATGCTAGTATTTTATGTAATTTATTTCAGATACAAATAGACTCAAAATACTCAGCTGTAAAGCCCCCATTTGTGGTATTTTATGGTTATGTACACATGCTCATTCTGTCAAAAACAACAGCGTAAATGAGCCTGGGGATTCTCGTTTTACTTCTTTGCCACCGTCCTCATCACCGTCATCATCTTCACTGTCAGCTTGGCTGTTGGCTCCTGCCTTGGCCTCGAGCTGCCTGAGCTGGGGCCTTGGTGCCTGTTCGCGCACGCGCTCCCCCGCGGCCCCTGAGCCCAGCAGCGTCTGACCCCCGCTCTCCCTCTTGCCCGCAGGAGGCCCTGGAGTCCTGCCAGACGCGCATCTCCAAGCTGGAGCTGCACCAGCAGGAGCAGCAGGCTCTGCAGACGGACACCGTAAACGCCAAGGTCCTCCTGGGAAAGTGCATCAACGTGATCCTGGCCTTCATGACCGTCATCCTCGTGTGCGTGTCGACCATTGCCAAATTTGTCTCGCCCATGATGAAGAGCCGCTTCCACATCCTCGGCACCTTCTTCGCCGTGACTCTTCTCGCGATATTTTGTAAAAACTGGGACCATATCGTGTGTGCCATAGAAAGGATCATAATACCCAGATGAAGCCACCGGTGCCCATCTTCACGTTCACTCACGTTTCTGTGTTAAGGAAAACTCTGTGCTTAACCACCAAATCTGAAAGCGAACCGTTGTGCTGACTAGAGCCCACCAGCTGGGGCCGCGCCTTGTAAATATCTCCAGGCCTCCTCACGCCGTAGCCGCCGCCGGCTCAGCCCCTGTGCTTGGTGAACGTGGGCCTGTTGCCAAGCTCGCCCCACGTCGCTCACTGCCTTAATCAGACCAGATTTCCTGCCCACCTCACTAGCCCAACATGGTAAACCTCTGGTCCTTGAGCGTTTGGTGTGATTAATGACCCACAAGAAATGGGGTGTTAAGTCTCTGTCTCCCTTAAGTCTCTGTCAAAATTGAGCTTCATAGTCGCTGGTGGTGGTGTTTTCCCCAAGTCCCATAAGCAGCAAGGCTGTGGCAGGACTTGGGCAGGGGACAAAGCGTGGGCGTTGGCCACGGGGAACGCTTGTGGCCTACGGAAGTACAGTAGATCCTGTGTAATCCATTGTGTCGGTTCCCAGATGACACTGGATCCCAGGTGTTCCCCTTGTCTGCAGTGGTCCGTTGTGCAGGGCTCGCCCCAACGTGGAAATCTTACAGCACACCTGTCTGTCCGTGGAAGTCTAACTTAGGCGTTCTCTTGCACTTTAAATGGTAAGACAGGAAGATCCGAGAGTGGGGCTTTCTCCTCCTTACACCCAGGAGGCCGCACGCCCAATTCTATCTTAAGTAGAAGGCTCTCGAGTGCCTGGCCTTTAAGCACGTAGAAGTGCTTCCAAATACCACATCAGACTGCGGCTTGAGCGTGAGTGTAGGCTCCGGAGGTTTGCGCTGCGGTGAGTCTTGATTGTGATAACCCCCTGTGGGGGTGTGGTTCACTTTACTCATCGGCCTGGGGAGGGTTGTAAAACTTACCACACAGGTGAACACCAGTGATGCTCGTGTTGTGGGTTTTTTTCTCCCTCTTTAAGAAGGACGACAGAATTGTACCGTGTGAGGTGAAAGTGCACTGCGGTAGGGGCACTGGAAGCGGGAGGAAAACAGGGCATGTGGTCTCTGGGGGTGGCAGTCAGATGAAGACCAAGAAGGTCTTCTGAGGACCCCCGCTGAGACCAGCCGCTGTCTGATGAATTAGATCCAGTGTCTGCACCAAGGTTGTCCATGGTCTCTTAGGGGCTCACTGAGGTGCCACGGGAATGGAGTGGCCATGCTTCTTCCCCTGAGGTGAAAGCCTTCAGAAGTTAACATCTTCTGCCTGTTTGGGTGATGCTGCTTACTACTTTCAGCCCAGATGACACTCCCCTTTAAATCTTTTTCTCTCGGATGAGACTCCCCTTTGAATCTTTTTCTCTCAGTTGATACTTGCCTTTAAATCTTTTTCTCTCTGCACCTAACGAAGACGAAGATAGAAGGTTTTAGTATATGTGCTGCCGAAGCGAGCACCGAAGATAGAAGGTTTTAATGGAAACTGCTGTTCAGTCCCTCCTCCCACCATCCGCTCTGTTATCTGAAGGCGTAAAGATGTATGTTAGTGTACATTTTCTTCCAGAAAACATCGAATCGCCTGGATTTAAATTAAGTGCAATATTTTGCGAACAGCTGCTCTTAGGGAAACTCCTGAAAAAATGTGACAGTGTGCCGTGGTTTGAGAGAATGGAATAGTCGAGCATTTGGTACAAGTCCAGTGTGTGTGAGACTCAGACAACTCAAGCTTTCTTCTTCATCTTTTTTTAACTTTCCAGTTCAGTGGTTTTAGTAAATTCAGAAATTTATGCAACTCTCCCCACTATCTAATTCTGGACTCGAGCTTTTTCAAACAGTAGGCATCACTCGACATCTCCGGCTGTACAGATTGTGGACTCCGGGACGAAGGAGCTCCCAGCCCCACCCCCATCTCATGGCTGTGTCCCCTTCCACTGTCAGACCGTCCCTTGTTCTGCCAAGTTGGCTGTAAATACACTGTGAGCCATCGAATCCAGGGGACAAAAGAGTTCCAGATCCAGGGAAGAGAGGGAGAGAAAATGGTGTGCTTCCTTTTGCTTCTACGTTTTAATGGCCAGCATTCCCCATTGCCTGTGGGCCTCAGGCTTCATTTGGCCGAGGGCTGGCTGCCCCTTCCCTTGGATCAAGCTAGACGCTGGTGGGCACCCTTCATGTCTGTGAATCTTTCTGAGGCACTCTGGATATGCCAGGGCTTGCAGCGGACGTTGCTGCCGCTGTTTAGAGAGAGTGAGGGAGGCGGCTAACCCGCAGGCCGCCATGCTCTGCTCATCGCTGGCTTTGACGCTTCCCAGACCTTTCCAGATGCTTCCCTGACGCTTCCCAGACCAGTGGGGAGGAGGCAGCGTGTCTCCTCCCCACTGGGAGAAGCAGGGAAGAAAATGGAAAGCGGCACACTCCACCCCCTCCAGTCTGGAGCTGTGAACAGAAGCTGCTAGAAACTGGCTCTGTTCTGAAATGTTCTAGGGTCTAAATCATCCCACCTGATCATGACTTCTTTGCACAGAATTTATATTTCCAGTGATTCTCATTAGATGTCAGATAATCTTATTTTCACCTGGATATGTTCAACCTACATGGCATATTTATTTTTGAGTCTTGTTGAAAGTTCATGAAGCTTTTTAATAAGCTGATACACTCCAAGGAGACCTTTCTTTACTCGCTGCAGTTTGCCGTTCTCTTCTTAAAGAAATAAACCCTCCCGTTGTGTGTTTTCTTGCCTGCGTAAAGGGAGTAAATAAAATTTTATAAATTATTCAATTAAAAATTGTAATCCAGCTAGGACATATCCTGGAATCGGTCATTTACATTTAAGTCAACTAATCCTTTCCCCTGACCCTTCGTTGGTAGGAAACCTCTTGTACATACCTGAGGACAGACTCCGTCGTGAGGTGGGCAAACACCTGCTCCCTTAGCGAACTGGACATTGCATTCTAGCACAGGATTTTTTGGTGACCTACTGTTTTCATGATCACCAAGATAATGATAGTTTGCTGGGGACAAAACAGAAACCCAAAAATACTCTTCTGTGGGCTTTAAATTGGTTACTCCAGCTTAGGTTTTGAGTATGATGGAGCCAGAACAAAACATCCTACCCCCCCCCTCCCCGATTCAGACCGCAATGAAGCAGTAAATAAAAGTACTCCATTGCTGGTTTTGTGTGGAGAGTGGGATCAGTCCCAAGTTTCTGGCATGTACCATTAGTGGTTTTGCTTCTGTGATCATCGTGAGCTATTGATAGACAGATTCTCTGAAACTTCCCACCCCTCCCCCCCATAATGCAGTTACCCCATCAATCAATTAGCATCCATGGGACCTCAGCCCCTCTGCTTTGTCCCTCTTGTTTTCATGGAAATATTGCCCTGCTAGGTATGTTGATTGCCCTGCCATTTCTCCAGCATATCAGGTTTAATTATGGGATCGATAACAGTGACGGGAATTGGATTCCCTTGGGCACCTAATTATTTGTGTCCTTTGGGGTTGGATTTTAAATTCCAAATTGTTTTGCATCAAAGAGGAACATCTTTGTGTTGAATCTAAGCATAGATGCATTGGTTTGGAAAAGCATTTCAAGGTGCTTAATAATATGAAAACGTGTGATTCAACAACCTGTTTTGCATATTTCTATAATTTTGAGGAGTGAGCCGGGGAAGAGCGAGATGGCATTATTTCAAATTCAGAACTTTATCTGGAGAGAGGAATTTCAAAAAGTTTAGCCCATGTGTTAAGGAAGGAGTTGGTCTAAAAAGATTAATCACTGAAAGGAATGATATTGGTCTATTTACATCAAAAGTAGTTAAGAAGCTAAAAGGTACAGTTAACATGAGTTTGGTAACCCAAAAGATACAAAGCAGATCTAACCTATAATTTTCTAAAGTCAGTGCAATCCTTTGTTTATAAGAAGCTGAAAAGTAATGTACCTTGATTGTTCTAGGAATAGTTTATGTGTTACCATTTTAATTTATTTAAAGCGTGTCTCCTGTCTTTGTCCTAAGAGAATTGTTTCAACAAAATGTGCTCTGTGTTTAAGATATGTTTAGGCAGTAGTTAGCAGTTCCGAAAATGGAAACTAGAAATGTTTGTTGTGAGGTCTTTTGCAGAATTTCCATTTTGTGAGATACTGTGTAGTCCCACGTCAGCCTACAGTTGTAAATCCCATGTAGATCATCACCCTCTTCAAAGCAGGTGCCATTATTTTTTTAAATAAACATTTGATGTTAGCTTTGATGTTCAATAAAGAGTTCAATTTCTTAAATTTCTGTATTTGTCACGGTACATCTCAGTAACAAGTGTGTGCATGTGGGCACGTGTGTAATAAATCTTTTAATGGATTTTATTTTTTACAAGAGTTTTAGGTTCACAGCAAACTTGATCAGAAGGTACAGAGATTTCCAGGGCACCTGGGTGGCTCAGTTGGTTAAGTATCCCACCCTTGATTTTCTGCTCAGGTCATGATCTCAGGGTTGTGAGATGATCGAGTCCTGCATTGGGCTCTGTGCTCAGTGGGGAGTCTGCTCGAGATTCTCTCTCTCCCTCTGTCCCTTCCCCCTCCTCTGAAATAAGTAAATACATTTTTTTTTAAGAAGATATAGAAGGTGGGACACCTGGGTGGCTCAGTCAGTTAGGCATCTGCCTTCAGCTCGGGTCATAATCCCAGGGTCCTGGGATTAAGTCCCACATTGGGCTCCTTGCTCAGTGGGCACCCTGCTTCCGCCCACTGCCTGTCCCTCTGCTTGTGCTCGCTCTCTCTCTGACAAATAATCTTGAAAAAAAAAAAAAAAGATATAGAAGATACAGAGATTCCCCATTATCCCCTGTCCTTACACCTGTATAACCCCCCTACTATCAGTGCCCCCCTGCCCCGCCAAGGGTATGTTTGTTAAATAGTGGCCTGTAGCCTGCACTGCTGCATCACTGTCACCCAGAGTTCATGGTTTGTACAAGGGTTCGCTCTTGTACATTCCATGGGGTCGGACAAACATATAACAGCATGTGTCCGCCAGGCCGTTAGTATCACACACAACAGTTTCACTGTCCTTAAATTCTGTGTGCCACCTGCTCATCCCTACCCGCTCCACAATAGCCCCACCACCAAAAATTAATCAATTTTTAAACTAACTTCAAGTCTGTGTCATTGAAAGTTGTTGGTGTGGGATGTACGGCCCATTCCTTAATCCCCGCGTGGAAGGAAGGATGGTTTCCTCACAGTGCCCGGAATGGTAGGAAATGTGTCCCAGCATCGTGGAAACGGGGAGCATGGAAGGATGCTGAGGACAAGGCAGAAGCCTTCGCGGGCTGGAGTAAGGAAGAGGGCGCTGCTCGGACAGCTGTGTGCACAGCGGGTAGGGGAGGGCCGAGCAGACCCCTCCGGCTGAAGCAGTCTGCCTAGTGGGGTTTCTCGTTGTGGTGCGCTCATCTGGACCAGTCCTATGATGTGAGGACCATCATCCCCATTACCTGGATGAAACTGAAGCTCAGGCATGTGAACTTTCCCCGAGACCATCGTTAGCGAAAGGGAGTCAGGA